AGCAAATGTGGGCTGATACGATTCACTGGAGGAAGGAATTCGATGCCGATACGATAATGGAGGTATTTCGTGATATTAACATGCTGCAGGCTGTTATATTTGGAATGGCCAATCAATTGTTCGGAAGCTCATAATTCTATTATGAGACTGATTTTCATTTGTTTGGTCCTAAATTCTTGTTAGGATTTCGATTTCAAGGAGAAAGACGAGGTTCTTAAATACTATCCACAAGGGCATCATGGAGTTGACAAGGATGGCAGACCTGTTTACATTGAAAGACTTGGGCAGGTTGATTCAACCAAGCTCATGCAAGTCACAACATTGGACCGTTACCTTAAGTACCATGTCCAGGAGTTTGAGAGGACCTTTGTCGATAAGTTTCCAGCCTGCTCTATTGCAGCAAAAAAACACATCGACCAGAGCACAACCATTTTGGATGTTCAAGGAGTGGTATGTGGAAAGTTTCTCATACTTCAATGTTTGCAAATACATTTGTTTGTTTTCCATAGCTGAATGTTTAGACAGCTACGAAAGGCAAGTTAATTTTTCAAATATAAGGTTTCGGACCATTGATCGGTAAATCTGGCTGTTTCGTAGAAATTTTATGGCTATGTGCCAAAACAATGAAAACCATATAAAGATCTTGTAACAAATAATGTAAGAATTGACTTCATTTTTCACACGTCATTATTTTTGGTTCAGGGACTGAAACAATTCAACAAAGCTGCTAGGGAACTCATTCAGCGTCTTCAGAAGATTGATGGTGATAATTATCCTGAGGTACTTATTTTGCTTTCTTTTTTTTCACAAAAACTTGTTTTTCTTTCTTGATTTTTCATTCAATGGTAGATTTGAACTCATTGGTCATTTGAATTCTTGTTTTGTTATATAGACCCTCTGCCGCATGTACATCATCAATGCGGGATCTGGATTTAGGCTCTTGTGGAACACTGTGAAGTCATTCCTTGACCCGAAGACCACTGCCAAGATCCATGTAAGATAGATTCTGCTTACCTCAAATTTTCACCTTTTTCCTTAAATCAAATCAACAAGTTGTAATGTTTCATTTTACCAGGTTTTAGGTAACAAATACCAGAGCAAGCTGCTTGAGATCATTGATGCTAGGTAATTTTTGTTGATGAATTGTTTACTTTTTTGGTATTGGTTTTCTTCTTAATAATTTGATGTTAATGCCCTTAAAACAACTGCAATTTAATACCAAGTACGCTCTTCTTTACACAACTTTTCACTACATTCTGCTTTTTTTTGAACTTAATAGTGAGCTACCTGAGTTCTTGGGAGGTAAATGCACCTGTGTAGATAGAGGTGGTTGTATGCGTTCCGATAAGGGCCCTTGGAATGATTCAGAAATTATGAAGGTTGTATTCTTTCATTTAATCTTTTTAAGATTGTGATTCCAAATTTTAGAGTGTGTTTGGTAAGGATTTTTGGGGGAAGAATTGATTTTTGAATAGTGATATGATGGGAAATGTGTGGTTGAAAAAGAAGAAAAAAGTATGATGTGATGGAAAATATTATTTTATTGATTGAAAATGAGAATTGATTTACTGTAGAAAATAAAAATCTGTACCAAACATGCCCCTAATTTTTCTGTGTTGGCTTCTGATTATTAACTACGGAAATACTGAAAAACAATGTTAATCTGACTGTGCAGATGGTACGCAATGGCGAGCACAAATGCTCAAACAAAGTCCACATTTCATTTGTGGACGAGAAAACAATTTCTGAGGACGAGACTGCCAAGGTACTCAGTCTTTCAGTATATTTACCTTGTTCTCTGCTTTCACTGTCACCTTTGAAATTTTCAAATCAGACGTCAATTCTGAGGTGTGATATCCTTTAAATTGGATTACAATGCTCGTGTTTTTCGGTCCTTATGGCGTCATATTGCCATATTTTTTACATGTAGAATGTGAAGAAAGACAGTTTTTTCAATAAGGGAACAGATTCTCTGAAGGTTTCTAGGGCACATCTCTCTCCTGTTCATGAGGAAGTAAGTTGTAACAATTGTCATCATATGTTGGCATTACAGTCATAGTATATCTTGCAAGTTATCCCAAATTGCATATGTAGAAACTTGTATTGTTCCCTTCTAGAACTTCAGTTTTAATTTGTTACAACATATTCAGGTTTGTTTAGACTACTGCTGCCTAAATAATCGAATCTAGCTGCAGGTAACCAAAAAGCCCAGTGCATATGAGTCTGATGTGTACGTCCGAGTGGTAGACAAGGCTGTTGATGAATCTTGGCCAAAAGCAGCAAAAGGTGACAAATTTGCTCTTTTGAAAAGTACATATCGTCCTGTGATTCTTAGAATTCAATTCATAGATTGTCTTTGTTTGCTAGTTAAGTAACAAGGCAGATACTATTTTTTCATAATTCTTTAGAGCACGTTTGTCTAAAGTTAAAAGTTACTTTAAAGTTAATTTTTTGCCATGTTTTGACCTTCTACAGAAGGTACTCTCGTCAATTTTTTTTCTGAAGTTGGTCTCAACACACTTTTCAAAGGAGTAAATTTCCTTCTTAGTTAAGCTAAGCCAGACATGCTCGATACAAGAACCAAGTAACTAATTTTGCAGTATCTTTAGGATACCGATGATCCATAGATTTATTCTGATAATTATATTTGATTTCTATTCTCCAAGAATTGTTCATCCTTTTTGTAGTGTAATATTGATGTTGAGATTCTCTTCGATTCTGCTGTCATAACCTTGATTTAAGACAACTTTATCGTGTGAAAAAATGTAATAATATTAAGAACTTATATTTTAACGTCTTTTTCCCATTTTTCTACTTATAGCTGCGGCTTATTTCCCCGTAGAGAACACTTGCAAGCCTTCTGAAGGACTTGGCAATCATCTCTTTTCTGGAGTTATGACCTTAGTTTTGGGTGTAGTTACTATGGTGCGCATGACACGTAACATGCCAAACAAACTCACAGATGCCACTCTCTATTCTTCTTCTATGCACTGTGCTGATGATATGGTTAAAGGTCAATCTAATGGCTACAGATTGCCAGCTCCTGCCATCTCTAGCGCTGATTACTTTGACATGATGAAACGCATGAACGAGCTCGAAGAGAGGGTGACTGTTCTTATAAAGAAACCAATTACTATGCCTCCCGAGAAAGAGGAAATGCTGAATGCCGCATTGAATCGTGTTGGTACGTTGGAACAAGAGCTTTCAGCTACAAGAAAGGTATGGACTGGTTCTCTAGACAATCTTTGTTGATCCAAATTGGAAATATGTAGGTTACTTATTTTGACAGTATCCGTTTCTTCTAGAACTAAAAAGTCAGTTATCCAAACATGGTTAAAAATAAAAAGTTGCTTAAAACGAACTTAGTCTTATATTAGGCTTAGCAAAAAATTGTCAAATTCTCAAGAATGGTCGAATCTTTTCAGAGAAAAATTGTTTACCCCTTTCTATTATCAAATTTGCAGGCTCTTGAGGATGCTCTTGTTCAACAAGGCGAGCTCCTTGCCTATGTTGAGAAGAAGAAAAAGAAGAAAAAGTTCTTCGCTTTCTAAATGCAGAGATCATAAGGCTCATACTCCGTTTGCTTTGCCGAATACTGAAATTGGAGCTTTTGCATATTAAATTGTTTGCTGTTGTAATGGCTTGAGTAATGTGTTGTTTCTTGGCGACCTCAACGTTTATTCTCTGTGGTTTTTAAGCTCTAACGCTGGCTTAAACTTGTGTTTCATTGTCCTTAAATTACATTACATTGTGAATCTAAGGGTCCGTTTGATTGTAAAGGGGGAAAATTGGTGGAAAGAAAATGAATTCTAGTGAATTGAATTGCCTAGAGATTGTTTTACTGAAAATTGTAATTAATTATATTCGGTTAGTATAATTTTTCACTTGAAAAATGTTGAAAGTTTGGTATTCGTTTGACTTTCTTTTTCATGAAAATTGTCCATTAAAATAATAATTTTCTTTACCATTGGGTCTAGAATTTGTTTCACTTGCCAATAAAAATTTTTTTTAAAAAATTACAATACCGAATATCATTCGTTTGGCTTTGTTTTGTGTGAAAATTGTCAATAAAAGTGATAAATTTTTTTAACATTATATTTAAAAAAATTTCCAATTGTTTAAAAAAAAAAAGATTGGTGGGAATTGATTTTCCACAAAACCAAGAAATTGGTGAGCATGCGAGCCAAATGTGTAAAAAAATTTCCATAGAAAATAAAGTGTATCAAACAAAGCAAAAGTAGAAGTTGGAATTTGTTTTCCATTTTTCATGAAAAATAATGCCCCATCAAACAGGGCCTAGTGTGAAAATTGTCAATACTGAATATCATTCGTTTGGCTTTGTTTTGTGTGAAAATTATCAATAAAAGTGATAAATTTTTTTAACATTATATTTAAAAAAAATTCCAATTGTTTAAAAAAAAAAAGATTGGTGGGAATTGATTTTCCACAAAATCAAGAAATTGGTGAGCATGCGAGCCAAATGTGTAAAAAATTTTCCATAGAAAATAAAGTGTATCAAACAAAGCAAAAGTGGAAGTTGGAATTTGTTTTCCATTTTTTATGAAAAATAATGCCCCATCAAACAGGGCCTAGTGTGAAGAGGATCACGTACTAGTCAAATTCTTCCTTGTGTATGTATCCACAAAGAAGTGCTTTTGATGGAGTCACTTCTAAATGGATTACAGGGTTGTCCTCACTTTTTACAGGTACGTGGGATGTTTATACTTAAAAGAGTAGCAATTGTTAGTGTGAGAGAGAGAGAGAGAGCTTCAAATATATGAAAGCAAGTCTATAGCAATAATGATCGACAACGAATTTCTCTCACTTCAAACATCACTCTAGATGACTAGATCTCAGGTTAATCAAACTAAAACCATATTCAGTTAGTTCTTATAGAATTCGAGTATTATTCCTATCAACATATGTAAAGAAATCTTCAAGATTCTGGTTAACAGTTACATCAAATACTGCCTCCCCAAAGCTCCTCGTTTGGATAAATATTACCAGCAAAACTTCTTTTTCTGTGAAACAGAACCAGAAGGTATATTAGCAATAGGCATAACGTATATGCACAAATTTAAGGCAAAAGCGGGTGGATATGGATCAATGTGAAGACTTGAGTGTGCGAGGAAAAGGGAAATTGAGTCATAGAGCATGGTATTTGGCTCCAAAAGGAAAAGATAAAAAGACCTTTGGAAAGTAGAAACTTTTTTGAAAAAGCAAGTTTGAAATTAAATGTCCTAATAAGTAACTTATCAAAAAGCTAAACATGAAGCTTAACGGTTAATTTTAAACACATTTTACTCTTTTTAGGCTTCAGGCAAAAATGATCATAATACAAAAAGTTTGAACTTGTATTTTTCATGACGAGAACAATGGTTGAATTAACTCACCCGAAACTTGGATTCTTCTTGACTGTCCATATAAGCAAGCAGCTCCTCTTGCCTCGTCAAAGCTTCATGCAGAGCCTGCTCAATAGAAACACAATCCACTATCACTCAACTTACCTTTGGAAAGACGAAGATTAGAGTGTAAAATAAATAGTTAATCCTATTCAGACTCAATAACATATGTCCCGCACAAGTTTTCCATTAATTTTGCTGTTATATAGCTATTCTCATTGTTGCAAAATACAGGATATACCTTTTTGGTGGCAATCAACTCTGCTTCTAGGGCATCAACTCGACAAAACCGTCGTAACTCGTCAAGAAAGGGATGAAGCATCTTTGATGGCTTTTCTTGAAGAGTATTCACCTTCTCTTCAAGCACACCCAACCTCTTCACGACAGAAAATAAAAGTTCACTTTCTGTAAACTGTGGAGTTGGTGAAGGTGGTCGAAACTCCTCCTTTGTAATCGAGTCAAAGGAAAATTCTTGAATGGTTTGCTCGTGTTGTGATGACGCATCGGGCAATTTCCTGGTGACACTGCATGATAGTGTACGGAATAACACAAAAAGGGTCATGAAGAAGGCCATAAGAGCTGCCAACATGCGATCTTGAATTCCTTCTGGGGCCTTTTGAGAATCAGGTGGCCGAAACACCTCTGTATTTAAAAGTTCAAATTACACATTTAAAGTTAGTAATAAAGTCAATATTTCAAGCATGGTCTTTATAGTATTCCAATTTCCAAGTTTATAACCCAATGCGTGAAGACAATTATTAATAGAAATATACATAACTAACCTATAGAAATAAAAGGCTTCGGAAGGGATGGTTGCTTCTTCCATCCAGAATCAACCACCTTGTCAACCATGGGAACATACTCATCATACCCTGACAAGTTCCCAACAAAGCAAGATGTTCCTATAGCCCTAGCCTGAGAAATGAGTCAAATAATACACACAATCATCAAAAGAAAATTATCAATCCATAATTGTGGGGAACTGATAAGTATTAATAATTAAATATGTAATTAATCAATCCATATGGAGTTTTTGCAAGATTATATACAACCTTAATTTTCTCCAAAAATCTTGTATTGAGGACACATGGGACAGAGTTCATTCCTTTTGAGATTATTCACATAAAACAATCAACAAATTTATCCACTTGGAATATACTTCCGTTTACATTGATGCCAACCAAACCTCTCTTGGAACTTCGAAAGAAAAGAATCACAAAGTTCAGAATTTGCAAAACCTACTACCAAGCATAAAATAACTAAACATGAAGTTCACAGGCTTAGCCATACCTCCTCACGAGCTGGAGTCAACCGAAGATGTGAATATTTCATAATGGCTTTTGGTGAAGCAATATCTTCAGCTTCAGAACCAGACTTGGCAATAGATGTATCACTGCTTTTTACCTGCTTCAACAACCAAAGAACCATAAGATTTCACTTAAATCTAACATGTTGATGAGTTTCTGCGCCCAATCTCATATAAAAAAGCCACAGAGACCGCACCATCGAATAGTCAAGATTATTATAAATGATCCTCCCTTCACTGTTAAGAACTTTAAAAACCAGCCTGGCACGCCGTGCTTCACCATTAAGCAACATATGCGACACAATGTAATGAAATCAATTCTTTTCAATGTGAAAGGAAACTGTAATAATGAAAGTTATACTATATTTTTCATTTTATATTTATTCAATATTTAGGGGGTGTTTGATGGATATTATTGAGGAAAGAATGTATTTTAAATAGTGATATGATGGAAAATATGTAGTTAAAAAGTAAGGAAAAGTTATTGATGTGATAAAAAAATATTATTTTATTGAAAAATGTGTGGTTGAAAATGAGTTTTGAAAGAATGTATTTAGAAAGAATGTGCATCAAATAGGTGTTTAATTAGGACCTTTCAAATCTCTGGATTCGTCCTTTATCAGAACGAAGGCATCCTCCTTGATCCCCACAGGTACACATTCCACCAGAACTCTGGCAACTCACTGCACAATTCAAAAAATTTAACTTCAGAAACAATAAAAAAAAAAGATCAACAATGCTTCCGCAATTTTGCTCATAACGAGATCCACCCCTTTCACCTGGAATCGATTACTTCAAGCAACTTGTTCTGGTATTTATTTCCAAGAACCTGTGAGATATTCCAAAAAATGAGAGAATTATAAGTTAGTCAGTCGTTCAAGCAAAAAGAGTTCTGCTTCCAAATAACAAAAGAGGAATTGTTGAAATACAGGAATCTTAGTGGTGGTCCTGGGATCTAGAAAACCCTTTACAGTATTCTACAATAGCCTAAAGCCTGGACCAGCATTGATGATAAACATTTGATGAAGTGTCTGCAGCACTTAAAAGGCACAATATATTAGTTCCCAAGATTTCTCAAAACCTGATAGAATTTATTACGTTAAAAAAATCTAAAATTTACTTCAGGATAATTATCTCCATCCATCTTCTGAAGCTGCATAATGAGTTCCCTTGCACTCTTAGTGAAGTTTTTCAAGCCCTGAAATTGACATCAGAAATATAGTAAGTTATATAACACAATGAAAAATTATCTATCAAATTGATAAAGCATGTGTGCCCCCACAAATTATGATGATTATATAACAAAAGTTAAACAGCATGTAACACACCACACCGTGGACATCCAAAACCGTTGTGCTTGAATCAATGTGTCTTTTGGCAGCAATTTTACAAGCTGGGAACTTGATGGCAAAGCATTTCTCAAACTCCCTGACATGGTACTTTATGTAACAGTCAATTGTTGTAACCTGCATAAGTTTGTTCGGATCGACTTTTCCCAGTCTCTCAGTGTATACAGGCCTGCCCTCTTTATCAACTCCATGATAACCATGGGGATAATAATTCAAAACTTCATTCAACTCTTTGAATTCAAAATCCTGAAGAAGACAAGAATAAATTACAAAAATTTTGACCAAAGTAACAAAGCTGACACTGGGCGACTGATGAGTACAACCAGAAGATAATTAACCATGCAATTTTGCCTTGTTACTTCAGTGAACATATTGGATCTAGTTACCTCCATAATTATGTCAGTGCCAAAATCTTTCCTCCACTGAATCATATCGGTCCACATGCGCTTAGCCTTTTCTTTATCAAATTTTCTTGCTTTTAAAAATCAAGCAAATTTCTTCAGCAGTCTCAAAAAAAAAAAAGGGAATCGTCGCTGAATCAGAAGAAAGGCAAGAAACTCAATTTTTGTCTTACATGAATTCAAAACCAATATTGCGTGCTTTTACATTTCGGTATATGCTGGTGATTTTATGTTTACATGTTTCAAAGCAATTTTGTCCATTAACCTTTCGAAGAAATACCGGAAGTTTACAAGAAATATTCATCTCGCAGTTCCTATCTCTACTTTTCCTCTAGTTAACACAAAAATCATCAGAAAAGATTCATCTCTCCCTAATATTCGTACTTTTAAATTAGAAACGGCAAACACAAAACTTATCAGAAAATATAAAATGCTATTCTTGTACCTGAGGTACCAACTTTAATATGTTGGCATTGTGTAAGAAAATTATCCCACTAATAGCTCAAGGGAGGTTCATGTAATATTCAAAATTCAAATGTGGCCAGTGAATTATGTACGTGGCCATTTTCAATTACCTCCTAGTTATGGGATGAGAGAATAACACAAGTATATGACAATCCATTAAGTATTTTTTGGCTTATCTCATATAATATTCTCACGTGTCTAGTAAATCATGCACGTGGCTGTTTTCAATTACCTTTATAGTAATTGGATGAGAGAATACCATGACAAGTATATGAAAATTGTGAAGAATATTATAAATTGTATATAATAAACTTGTTTCTATTACAAAGTAAAAGACCATATTTATAGGGTTATAAATAACTCTCAAAGGAAAGATTGCATAATAAATATACAATCAACTATTAAGGAAAATAATTCTACACTATTGGAAAAATATCATAAAGATTATTCTTTCTATATCTTCAACACCCTCTCTCAAACTCAATATGGTGTAGTAGCAATCAAATTGAATTTGAAAGATAAATCGAACCAATCAAATCTTCACAATTGCTTGTATGTCAACCAAGCCGAACAAATAACTTAAAGTTGATGATAATGAACAATCATCATCCACCAATCTAACAAAATCATCACCAAGACTTAAATGAGAAATCAGATGATAGTCAATCTCAATACGGGTTGGAGAGGAAGAAAGAACACTCATATCTGCAAGTAATCAACGCATCCACTACTAAACCAAAGGGATGCAAATTTCAACTTGACAAATACCAAATGAACTGGACGCAAATCTCAAATTCCAACTCGACAAATACCAAATAAACTGGATGCAAATTTCAAATTTCGGATACACCGAACCAACACCAAATCAAATTCCAGATGAACTAGACATATACTAAACCAATTTCCAAATGAATTGGACCAAATTCCAGATGAACTGGACATATACTAAACCAAATTCCAAATAAACTGGACCAAATTTCAGATGAACTGGACATATACTAAACCAAAGGAATACATCCGAAAAGAAAAAAAAACATTGGTAGCCGGACGAGCGAGTCGCTCGCCGGAAACGAAATTCAAAGTTAATTTGTTTAAGATCGAAACTTCTCTGATACCATGTGAAGAATATTATAAATTGTATATAATAAACTTGTTTCTATTACAAAGTAAAATACCATATTTATAGGGCTATAAATAACTCTTAAATGTAAGATTGCATAATAATTATACAATCGAAACTTGTTTCTATTATTGGAAAAATATCATAAACATTATTCTTTCCATATCTTCAACAAAAATCAACAATGTATTTTATGGCTTCCCTAGTAGAAGTGTGCATTTAAATAAAGGTAGGAAGAGAAAACGAATAATAACCTCAACATGATATGTTAATCATCAAGCTTGTCTGGCAACAACTCATCCAATATCAATTCTTGTCGAAATGATTTAACGGCTTCCAGCTCCTCAGCATCCCGGATATCCTCAATTAAAACAGAGCAGACTCGGCCATTGCTCTTTCTTCTGTTGCTCTTCTTCTTGAGAGAATGCTTGAACTTTGATGATGCACTCAGTGCTTTCTTCTTCAGGGAAACTATCCTTGTCCTACTTTCATCCTCAGAATTCTCAATATCAGATGTCTTTCTCTTCTCTCATCAGAGCCTGATGAATCCTTGGAGCCTATTCCATGGAAAACAGATACACATATATAAATAAATCATTTTGAGAAACAGAAATTAAACTCATCATCCTTACAACATTCTGCTGGGAGTTAGCAGAAATCCCTAAGCCTGTAGTAAATCAAGAATATAGACAACTGCTCTGACTTTCGGTACATTAGACATTTGGAATACTAAATTTGGAGATCCAACTCTTAAATTGCATGGCTTCCTTTCATTGACATTTATAAAGAAAAAATTTTGAAATGAAAGCTAGTCGACAAAATAGCATTTTTAAGAAGTTTGATTACACTCAATTTTAGTAGTAGTTTAAACTATAATAAGTTCCGATTATGTAGACACTTCAATTGTCTACTGACTACGATTATTGATTAAGGAATATAACTACCCCCAGCATACCACTTTTTCACAATATAGGGAATTGTGAGCCCAATCTCGCCAAGTGATGCCAATTCTGCTTTCTCAAGAGTAATCTGCCTATCTTAATAGCTCACTACCAACTATCTTGGCCCTCAATGATCAAACAATAATAAAATTGCTGCTATACTATGATGCACCGACGCGGATAAGCGTGTCCGACACTATATGCATCGGATACGTCGACACGCAATTTTTCAAATAGTACTAGCACAACATGTTGCCGACGCGTTAATTAAAATATTTAAAATTCTTTATTTATATAGTATAAATTAGTTTTATATTTGTTATGTTAAAGTCTTTTAAATATAAGTACCAATTTTTTATTAATAGTAACTTTGAGTTAAAAATATATAATATTTCTAAAGAAGAAAGAAGAATCACCATGATAGAGTATCGGAAGAGTGTTGGTATCGGACACGGGTTCGACTTGTGTCACACACGATCGTGCTACTCTGATTGAAGTGTTTGTGCTACACAGTCGCTATATAAAAGCACTACCTAACAACAGTTCATCCAAAAGGCCCAACTGGTAATTTCACACTCATTGTCCCTCACATCTCTCTCCTCCCCCACTCTCTCGTAGAAATTGAAATGTCTAGTTCCATTATTCCATGTAGACTGTCACGTCACAGATGTTCATTGATCATAAATAGCATTATTCCTCGTATATCTTGAGTAAACACTAAAAAAAACCCTAATTTCAACTAATTCCACGAAATTACAACCAACTAACCGTAAAATGCAGTTCGAGAACAATACAGAAATCATTAAGAACAAGAAAATTTCACTTACAAGGCCTCGCAAATCGATCCAAGGGTCCAGACATTGCTAGTTTCTGATCGTCAAAACCCTCTCAAAATCTTTATGATCGATCTGTCAATCCAGCATTGTTAATTTTCTGTACAAAAGAAATGTTCAAACTCTTTTAAGTGTCGCGCTTATCGAGAAGTTGACTGATGACACGTCAAATCCAGAAATGGCACAAAAAGAAAATACTTGGAGGAATAAATTCAGCTGGAGAGAGAGAGAGAGAGAGAGAAATTTTGGATATTTACTGATATAAATAGATATAAATACGTGTATTAATCGCCGGTTTAGTTGAGCGTTGGCGACTTTGGATAGTGAGGTGTAAATGTATTGTTCACTGTTGAGCTGTAGGACCCATAGTTGTATGCTGACACGTGGCATGAGGACCTCCGTGTGCGACGGCTACTGGAATTGGAATCTGCCAGCAGTGGTTGAATGAAAAGTTGAGAAATGAATTCGTTTCTGGGCCGTGTCTCCTATAGTGCTACGAACGAGTCGCGAGTTTGTACTTGGTATCATGTGAGTTGGGACAGTACGAGTTAACAATAGCACGTGATTAGGCACGTGGGTGTTTTATTCTGACCAAAAACACTTTCACCGTTAAATTAATATTAATTAAACACTCTTTAACAAGTTAACAACACGCAATCACAAACCTGCACGATCCACATACCAACAAAATTAAGGGTTATGTCACCTTGCCGGCAAGTGGTTGACAAATCGAGCGGTAAAATGAATGTTAGCAAATGTGATTGGATGAAAATGCAGTTTAAAACAATTCAATGATAAAGTGTCATGTGACAAACATTACGTCATTGTAACATGATTACAAAATTAATATTAATTATCAAAGTATCGTACTAGACGCAACTTTTTCCACGGATGTGACCTTCCACTATTAATCTTCCTCTCCTAATGGCCTAATCCTCTCAAATACAATTTTTTTTAATAAAAAGTTAAACAAATAAGTTATGAAATAAATATTTTTTTATTAATCAAAAGTAATAATAAATAAGTTATTTGTTTGGACATGAATCTAAAGAGGGCATATTTTTTTTATAAGAAAAAGCTTAACTTTGAATAACTTTACTTTTTTGTATATAGCGTCCGTTTGACCCCCATTATTCCAAATTATAATGAGATGAATAGTAATTTTTTGGATAATGTGTGGTTAAAAAAGAAGAAATTTTTTTTGAATTTATGTGTAATATTATTTTATTGAAAAATGTGTGGTTGATGAGAAAAGAGAAAAAAATAAATTATAATTTAATGGAGAAAAATGGGGATTGTTATTTATTTTTCATTAATTATATGTTCTTTAGATGATGTGTGTATCTAAAGATCGCCCATATTGCACCTTAATAAAATCTTATAAATGAAATTCTTCCAATCATATTTTTAGTAATTTATTCGAGAAATGCTATTCATCCCCAGTCTATGTGACGTTAATGTGAGATTAAATGATAGGTGGAATTAAATAAGTCATTTAATTTCACCTATCATTTATATCCACATAGATTGGGGATGCATCCCCACTGGGGATGAATAGCATTTTTCAATTTATTCCTCTAATCTAATACGATTTGCAAAAGCGTAACCGTGCAATCATACATTTTAGAGCCTGTTTGGTACAGATTCTCATTTTCTACAATAAATCAATTCTCATTTTCAACAATACATTTTTCAATAAAATAATATTTTCCATCACATCAATACTTTTTTCTTATTTTTCAACTATACATTTCCCATCATATCACAATTCAAAAACCAATTCTTCCCCCAAAAATCCCTACCAAACACACTCTTAGTTGGGATAATTTGCACCAAACATCACTAAGCTTTAAACATATTTTCAATTTGATCATCGTACTTATATTTGGTGCAATAACACCATTATATTTAAATTTACGAGCGATCGGTTCACCCTGTTTGGATTTACCAATGAGCTTGTTGACATGTCTATCAAAACTGATGACGTGCCAATGTATAAACTAATTTTCAATGTCGGCTCATCTTAAAGTGCACTGGAGATCATTGAACTTTCACTATACTAACAACTAGGTCACTTAACTACAATATTGTACAATCAGACCATTACACTTTAATTTACAAGCAATTGTTTAACACCTCTTGATGGATAATGTATTGAAAATTACTAGTTTTTCCATATCCATAATCTACGCAATCAGAGATTGACTTTCGATAAGTCATAAGGCTAATGTACCATTATGAAAAATGATCGATTATTAAATCATAATAGATGGACAATAATTTAGGTCATAATTTGTTGGATGCAAAAAATTCAAGACATTTAATATTCTTATTCACAAACATTTTATGCTCACGACTAAATTATTTTAAAGTAACACATCGTTGTTTAATGGTGGATGTGGAGTTTTCTCATGCTTCGTCGCTAGACCGTTACATTATAAAATGAAAGTTAACACATTGAAAACATAATTAATGGGGTAAAAAGAAACACCTCAATCGTTATTTCATCAAACGGAGCGGCATAATTGCTCATAAACCAAAGTACATCGTCATAATTGCACCAAAATTGAAGTTTAGTGATCTAGTTACAAGTATGGTGAAAGTTCAATAACCTCCATTGCTATCATAAACGAGTTATTGAAACATTGGCACATCATTAGTCAACAGACTCATTGAGGAACCTCAAAACATAATGATCTGATTATCTAGAAATTGAAGTATAGCGGAAGTTTAGCGACCTCAAATGAACTTCTCGCGTTGCTTCCAGCTGTGATTAGAAGGTTGGGCCCACCCCACCCCACCCCAGATGCTTACCTCCACAACCACTTTTTCTCATAAGTAGATTCCAAACTACATTTGTTTTTTTTTCATCCTCCTTTTATTTTATTTTATTTATTTCTTTTCCAATATTTTGATATTTTTCTCCACCGCTTTTTTCTCTATATAATCACTGCCCAAACACCATCAAAAGCCCCTTCCCCTTCTCTCTTCTTCCTTTTCGTTCCTTTAATGTCACTCTGCCATTTTCATTTCCCAGTTCTTTTAAGTAGTTAAAAATTCTGCATCTGTGAAAAATCTGGGTTTTTTTGGGAAGCAAATGTTCAGTTTTTTGTTATTGATCTTTGAGATTTATGTCTGCGGTTCTCTATGAACTCCTCCTCCTGGGGTTTATGATAAATTCCACATATAGGCGCAGGACCCATTTAGTTCAATCCTTCTCAGTTGTCTTCCTCTACTGGTTTTATTACATTTCATGATTTTTGCTCCTTTTTCTATGAATAATTAGCTTTATATATATATATATAAATTTTAATCTATATAGCTTTACATAACATATATTTACAGAATAAACGTAAAATTGCTATCTGGGTCCCGCTAATAATCTGATATTTTCGAGAATTTTCTCTAGCTTTTGTTTTCATGGCTTCCTCTAGTGGGATATCGTCAGGTACATCTGGTGTACAGAACTCATGCTCTGAAGAAGATCTGCAGCAGCAGTTGATGGATATGAGGAAGAGGAAGAGGATGATCTCTAACCGCGAGTCAGCTCGTCGCAGTCGGCTGAGAAAACAGAAGCAATTGGATGATCTGATGTCTCAGGTGGCTCAGCTGAGGAAGGAAAACAGCCAGATCCTCTCCAGCATTAATGTCACCACTCACCATTATCTCAACGTTGAAGCCGAAAACTCAATCTTTAGAGCCCAAGTGGCTGAGCTGAACCATCGGCTTCAGTCCCTGAATGAGATTAACAGTTTCTTAACTGGAGCCGTAACTGGAGTCGAAGAGCCTTATTTCATTAATGAACCTGCTGATGAATTAATGAACAATTCTTGGAATTATCTTAATGTTCATCAGCGTATTATGGCTTCAGCAGATAGTTTGTTGCAGTATTGACAAAGGAAAGAAAAGTCTGGATTAGCAGGAGACTAAGTAGTAATAATGATAAGATTAGGGAGTTAATTAAAATGGATCTGAGTTCGCAGTGAAAGTGCGTTTTTCAAAGAACTTCTGTAATGGTACTTTGCTCTCTATAATGCATCAATATTGCTATTTTTATTTTTATTTCTTAATCTTATTAATGATTTATTCCAAATAATACTTTAATTTTTTTTTTCCAAAAAAAAATAAAAAAATTGTTATTAATAATGTTAATTTACAGAAATCTATGGGACGACTCCCACGTGCAGGGAACAATGTATACAACACATGTACGAAGACAATCTAATTAGGACCAATTTGATGTAAATTTTTTTCGAATATATTTTGTAAAAGTGATATTTTGAACAATTTGTGGTTATTAAAATAGAAAAAGTTATTGATTCACGTGTAAAATAATTTTCTTCAATTAACGTGATTGAAATTTTAAAAAATGGGGTCAAACACAGAATTTAGAGTAATGTAACTCCATTGAGATTACAACCCCAGTCTAGATGACGTTAATGTGACATTAAATGATAGATAAAATTAACTAAGTAATTTAATTTCATTTTTCATTTAACGCCACTTAGAATTAATTACTCAAGAATTTAAGGCATGATTTGCTTAAAAATAAGTTGAATTTTACTTTTAAATTAATTATTTTATCAAGAATAATGTTTAAAGGTATTAAAAATACATTGTTTTGTTAAAAAGTAACTATTTATGCACATTCAAATGTGCTATTAATCCATTATGCTTAGAAATAAAATCCATGTTGAATTGAAGGTGGGATTTGAGAGGAAGAAAGAAATTACTTTTATTACATTTAAGATTTTTTCCATGGTTGAAAATGAAATAACTTAGAGCGATATTCGTCTCAATATAATTATCCTAACCAAAAAGTAATCCGAGCTTAAATAATTACTCATATCAATATCGAAACAACTTGTTTGGTAAAAAAAAGTAAAAAAGTACGTCTTTTCAAGGTTTATCACTCATCATCTTCATTTAATTTTCCCCATAAAAGGACAATATAGTGATATCATTAGTTGCGGAAAAAGATATTAGATGTGAAAATTGACGTGCACTAAAGGCATTTGAAAGGTAAATTAAAGCATTCTTTTAAGTTTCGGCGCAATTTGATACAAATTCTACCAAATTACTTTTAATCGCACATTTTCTCGTTAAAAATAATTTTTACACGTAAATTCATAGGTTAATTTTTATAAAATCTGTTTTTAAAAAATTACGCCAAACAATCCCTTAACAATTGCATTCGTGTGAAGAAAGTGCCAACAGAACATGGCAAATACTGGCTATTGCTTTCTTATGATTCCTATAACTTTTGGACTTGTGTTTCAATTTAAGAAAGCAAACAAATCAAAATGCTTGTAAGATGCTCACTGGAACCCAATCAATTCACCTGTCCTTTGCTACCTCGTTTTTCTTTCTTAAAGAAAACAAGTTAAACAATAAACATTGAACAAAGACAAAGACTGTCATATTCTAGTCAACATCTAATGCTTAAATCTTAGTAGTTTACCACTTTACCCCTGTATGGGCCCCACTATTTCATATTAGAATGAGAAGAATAGTAATTTTTCTAAAAATGCATAGTTAAAAAATGAGGAAAATTTTTTAAATTTGCGTTTAATATTATTTTATTACAGAATGTGTGATTTATTAATTAGAAGACGGAAATAAATAAATTTTAATTTAATGGAGGCCAAACACTCAAACAGCGACTTAGAAAGCACATATGCAACTTGCTTTACAAGACTTTTTTCATTAGCAATCTCATTGGACCTATTGACAGGACACAACAATTAATAAAGATTTTCGAGAATACTATTCCGAATTAGTGTCCTCTCGACACTTATTACAGTTCCATATCAATTCATGAATTAACATCTAATACTCTTCAATACTTTCACATGAATTGAAATCAACATATTCAAGCATCTCAAAAACACCCGGGTACCCGATCTGACATCTCGAGTGATTAGAACTCAATTAGCGTTCATTTGTTGAAGATGGTTAAGCACGTATGAAACCATCTTGCACAACATGATTTTTTTCCCTTCAATTAATTAAAAGTCATGACAAGTCACCCACTCGAGGTACATTGGACATGATAGTAGAAAAGCACGACTTTTACACCTAACTTCTACGAAAAACTTCATTGAAAACACAAGGCCAAGACTCCGTAAAAAAATTGTATGAAATTCTACCAAAAATTGTCATATTCAATTTTCAATTATAATCATTCACTAATTTGACGATTAACGTGCCTTCAGTCACCTATCTTTTTAATTTTTGAGTTGATGAAATAAATAGAATAGACTCGATAGAGTTTATAATTGCTGTGATTACTGCAAAGATCTCATATGAGTTTCGACGTCAAAATGTGTATACTTAAACCCCAAAATTTCATACCGAAAAGAACAAAATGGTCAAATAAACGAGTGATGTGTAAGTGAAATTCATTTATAATATTGAGTTTTTCCCTAAATAAACCACCATGGTGTCACCATTAGCAGGGACGGATTTGGGGGGGGGGGGGGGGTATTGAAAACACAAGGCCAAGACTCCGTAAAAAAATTGTATGAAATTCTACCAAAAATTGTCATATTCAATTTTCAATTATAATCATTCACTAATTTGACGATTAACGTGCCTTCAGTCACCTATCTTTTAAAGTTTTGAGTTGATGAAATAAATAGAATAGACTCGATAGAGTTTATAATTGCTGTGATTACTGCAAAGATCTCATATGAGTTTTGACGTCAAAATGTGTATACTTAAACCCCAAAATTTCATACCGAAAAGAACAAAATGGTCAAATAAACGAGTGATGTGTAAGTGAAATTCATTTATAATATTGAGTTTTTCCCTAAATAAACCACCATAGTGTCACCATTAGTGCCATATGACATTTTAAAGTGTAAAATTTCAATATAATGGACAATGAAAAAGATGACAGCATAGCACCCGTGCAAAAGTTGTTAAATATGGGCCCATAAGAACAATTGGCAAACAACTTGAATTTATTAAATAGTAAAAAGCATAAATATCAAGTGGCATTTGTACAAAAGAAAAGATGAGAAGTCCAGTTACATATATAGCAAGACTTTGGTGGCTACGGTTATTTCAAGGATTAATTTCATTTTTGGTCACTCAACTTTCGCTAAAGTCTCCATTGAACCATCAAAACTATTTTATTTTAATCAATATTTTCACGGGTCTTACGCTTTCGGTAAATATCCCTACTCAAGTTTTTCTACAAAATTTAAAAATAAATTGATGTATAGCATCCATGATTTATTAGGTGACGTATTTACCTAAAATCATAAACACACGTAAAATTGTATTTGAGCCCCTTAGGTCACATTTGCAAATTTATCATTTGTCTTGGTGTACTTGTATGGTGCTTGTTTGATAAAACCTTTCTAAAGTCTTATCAAAATTTTTATCGATCAAACGTTAACTATAATCATACATTAAATGAGATCCACAATTTTTATCAACTTTTTAACAATATATTTGATTAATTTTTATTAAATTTTTTGTCACGCAATAATTTTTTTATCTTCGGATTACTTGCAATAAGTAATCGATTATAGTTGTAATCGGAACCCGCATTGACCAAAGTGGAAATGAGTTTATTTCACGCAATCCGATTAGCTCAATAAACAGTCTTAGAGTGTGTTTGAGTCACATTATTTTGGAATAATGTATTTTTGAATAATAGATTAATGGAGAATGTGTGGTTGAAATAGAAAGAAAGATTATTGATGTGATGAAAAATATTATTTTATCAAAGAATGTATGGTTGAAAATGAGTAGAAAAATGATAATAAAAATTCTAATGTGGCTCAAACAGGGGCTTAGCCACAAAATTACGTGCATTAATCCAACTTTTGTCTTCGGCCATGGACCACGGTGCTTTCGACCTAAAATGATATATGAGATAAAGTTTAAAAGTTTTGAAAAACAATAATTAAAGGTGATAATCTTCTTTTCCAATCACTTTGGTTCTCTTATGAAATGAAGACACGTCACCAAACTGAAAAATTGGAGGATTTTGCCTTTGCCAAAAGCAAGAGATCGTGAATTACTTCGTGGAAGTTAGTCATTTATTTAGCTAACACGCGGAATTGTTATTGAGTGGTAGTTTCAAGTCTTGTACAATAACGAGGGAAAGACTATTAGTTTAGGGAGCACTCAAATGGGCATTGGCTAGGTCAGAAGTGGCTCGATTCTAACGCAACATGATTTCAAACCAAGCATTAATATTCTCATAAATCAATCCACCACTATCAGATCGTGCCGATCTTGAGTAGTCAGCCGCGCAAATGCCTTCCAATTTGGGACTTTTTTTTATTTAGTAGAAAATCAATAAAAAAGATCTAACTAGTTGCTCGTCCAATCAAGACTCGACACGGCTCCCACTTTTCAACTAAACAAGTAAACAGGTGGGTCGTACCAAAAAGTTGAAGATATGATATTCTTCTGTTAACACGTAGCGCTCTAAAAAGCGTAAAACGTAAAGGTCAAGACTTAGGTGTAAAAAATGTTTTCTTAGTTTAATATTGTTTTAAATTTCTAATCAAACTAAAATTATTTAATAATTAAAATAATACATACCAAACATATAAAATTATAAAGTATTAGATTGAAAAAAAAATGAGTCTAGGTTAAAAAAAAAGCAAAAAAATAATAATATACAAGTGAAAAAGCGCGAGAGTGGGCATTTGCGCCTGCTTCATGCTTAGGGATTCCTATGCTCCGCTTTATAGAATACTACTTCTGAGTAGTTACGAGTCTTACGGAATACTTGGCTTCAAATGGACATGGGCTAATTGGCCAAGCAACTTGATCCTAGCCTAGTGTAAATCTTGTCGTAAATCAATCCATTTACGAACAAATCATTCCAGACTGAAAGAAAAGAAGATGTTCGACTCAATAGCTCGTCATCTTATGGCTCTAAATAGATCGTTCTTGGCCTCCCACTTTTCTACTCTAACAATTTATAGTTTGGCT